GCCCGAGTCAGAAACCCCAACTCCATCCGAGGCCCCCCAGGCGCAGCCGACACCCTCGACGCTTTCGCGCGACCCGTCATCTGACGGCGAAGGTCAGAGCACATTGACCGAGGCGCCTCCAAAGTCAGAGTCGCCGCCACAACCAGAGACTTCTCCACGCACAGATTCACCATCCCAGCCTATAGCCCAGTCCGCCTCTCAGACCACTGCTTCTTCTGACAGTGACACCCCTAGCCACGCCTCACCACCTGCTGAGGCGTCGTCCCAGGACTCATCCATGGCCTTCACACAAGCTGCCAGCCCCCCCGAAGATACGACTCACTCTGCGGAGGAGCAGAAAAGTGGACAGAAGGATGAGGAGGAGTCACAAGAGAGACCCTCCTCTCCCCAACCGCAGGGGGTCAGTGGACCTGAGCTGGACAATGATCAGAGTGAGCCCGTGGAGGATGCTGCAAGTCTGCCAGTGGTAGACACTGTCACAGACACTGAGGGGACATAATCATCACTCAGTAGGTAAAAGATCATTTTGTAAAGTTGTCTCTTCTTCTCTGTACTCATGTCAGCAAACTACCACCACCACACGGGACATGACGATTACTGACTCACACTGTCTGATAACAAATGATTTTATCCTCACAGAAACCAGTGTACTTAAATAGAAGGCTCATTAGCTGATTTATGGATAGAGACTTTTGTTTGTATTTTATTTCCTTTTTTCCTTTTTTTAAGTTGTAATGCCACACCACCCATTTTAATTATGAGCTTGGTGAATTTTATCAAATTGCCTGCCAAAATGTTTCAATTGTATATGGGGAAATTTAGCTTTGACCTTCCTATGGAAGAGAGTAAGACATCCTGGCTGTTCGACAACGGATTGATATACTTGAAAATGGCAGCTGTTGGCCCAATTTCTGTCTCCTCTTCTTTTAAAATGCTACTGCAAAGTTTTCAATGAATGCTTTTGTGGTGTCTTGCAATGCTTTTTTTTTCCTTTTTTTTTCTCCTGAGCAGAACAAATGGCCTCCATACATTAAAACCAGAACAGCTGCTTATAATTGGGAAAAAAAATGAGCATTTTAAATAGAAAACATGAAAATGTTGTATCCCCAAAATAAATGTCTGTAATTTGTTTCTAATTATCCAGTGAACACAAACAGAACATTACATGCCCGGGGGAAGAAAAAGAAAAAGGAGCAGAGGGATGTTCTGATGTCGGCTGCATATTGTTTTAGTTTGAAATAAACATGCTTTGTCTGTTTAAAACACTTGCTTTAGGACTGTTTTCTGACCCAGGACCAGTGGAAAATGCTTTACAGACTCGTGCGCGCACACACACACACACTGTGTGCTGTCACTTCGGTCGATTTGATGTTCTTGTAACTCAAGTTGCTGCTATACCATCCATCCACAGAGCACTTTGTTGGATGCAACCGTGGGACTTGTAGTTTTAGTCTGAGGACTTCAGCCTGTATGTTTCCCTAAGCTTTTTGCTGGGTGACTGTTGAGGATGGGATTGTGCCTTTTTGACTGGATTTGTCGTTCACGATGCTATCCAACACTACTGTGCGATGTACATCAGACTGTGCGTGCAACTCTGCTTTAGACAGCTCACTGAAAAGAACGCTCCCTGCACACAATTGACTGACCTACAGTTTGAACGGTGGCTGCGCCGTTTGTGCAGCGCCGTTTGTGCAGCGCCTACCTAGAGAACAATATATCCTCCATCGTTCTGTGCATGCAGGCCTGTAGCCATGTTTTAACCTTCTGTCTTCTCTTGTTCATTTCATACCTGTAGTGGTTTTCTGTTGAGACGTACCTCTAGATATCCATAGTCTGCTGTTCTCTCAGACCAAATGTCTACTACAGGAGTTGTGATGTTGAATAAAAGTTCAAGGTGCATCAGACTTTCACTCCTTACTGTCATGAATTCCCATTCAGGCTGACCAGAATCATTATTTTGGGATTAATAGAAGTCCAATTCACGGGATTGGATTGCATCGCAATAGTCTGTAACATTTCAAGCACCACCCACCCGCTCTTCATCAAACAGTAACAGTAGGAACTCGCCTGGGTTTGGTCACGTGACCACAACCCGTGATGGATCCAACATGTGCATGAAGCTAAGACAAATAGTTCGATGCGTGTTAGTCGTTTAAACCGAGTAAATCATATAAATTAGTTCTTCACAGCTGTTTTTATAAAAGAAACACCAAAATAGCATTTTGAGACCCGACAGACTGGACAAAGGTGAATTCCACACTGCAACACAGACGCCACACGAGACCTGCTGCCCTTTATATTTTTTATAATTTAAAAAATTCAACACAACAAAAGGAAAAAAATAAAGAAGGCTGGCTAAAACCCCCCCACCCTGCTGGAGAGCTGGCTGCTGCATCTGGTCGATGTGCTTACTCAGCACGCACTAGCACCCAGCTCCTCTGTGCGCTCACTTACGGCCTCACTAGGGTCCGAAAAAACACGAGCTGGAGGATTCATTAACACAATCGCCTCCATCAGCCTGTCTCCTGGCATCTCAGCACTTTTTATTATTATAGAGAAATGGTGGACAAGGGCAGTGCAGTGTGCTGCTTCATGTCTCTACCTCCACTTAAGCTTAGTCCAAACAGTAGTCAACAAAAATAGATTTCATGCTGAGCATGTAGAGACCTGAGTTCTGGTAAGAATATCCAGTTGTGTGTCTATGACTCAGTCCATAAATTTCTAGCTCCCACCTGCCTCCCAAAGCCCGGGCAGTCAGCCAGGTCCATCCTCCTGCTGACCTCCCGAAAGAAAGATTTGACAGCCTGGAACTTTCAATCAATGACTATCTGTACTCAAACAGACACACATGTACACAACAGTTGGCTAGGTCTTCCATTCACAACAATAAAAATAAATATTCGCTGGACGGAGGTCGAGCAGCTTCAGTTATATGTCTATGGCTGGGTAAAGGGCACGCCACAACTGTAGTGTGATTTATTTAGGAACTGCAGCTTTCAAATAGGTCCCGGGGATGATTTAGGATGCTAGCCTGTGTGAGGTTTCCTTCCTCTGCACGCTGTCCCACCTGCCTCCGATCTGAGTCTAATGCCGTTTACTGTGCCAACCCATGTGCTCTTCATGCTGCATATAAATTCTGGGCCTGACCTTTACCTTTTAGCCCAGCATGGGCACCAAAACTGTAATGGCATGGAATAATGGTACATTTCCAGAAGCGCTAATGTGTGGTTTTGACTGCAGGTCAGATACACAGAAGTTCCCTGCTGTGAGGAAGTTAATTAGACACAGTGCTAGCTTTTGGCTTGTAAAAGGCTTTTTACTGTGTTGTGGGAGAATCATAAACATTTCCCAGCCTAATAATGGCTAAACTTCAAGCCCTAATTTGTTCTGTAAAGAGGATTTCTCAGCAATTACTTGATACTCTGGAGGTCCATTTTCACAGCCGCTATGGTGCTCCTGCTGCCTTAGTATAATAGCAGTGCCATTACTCTGTCTGGCCATTTGGGGTCAGTGTGGTGCTGCAGCACTTGTCAGTGCGCCGGCGTTGCTGTGCTCAGTGCAGACCGGATTCTTTGAGTGTGACGGCTCAAAATCTGCAGTGCTCACCTCTCTTACCTTCTGTTCTTCACCATCTCAACAGCACCTGGCAAAATATCTCTACATGAACCCCCCTCCTTTGAAGCAACAGTAACCTTGGTGTAAGGATGCGGGCGAAGGAAACCACTGATCCATACAGGACCTTCATTGTGCCAGGTCCTTGAAATGAACTCGTTCCATACCTTTTTGGGATCAATACAGACGTGTTGTGATAAAAGGAACGAGGTCTTTTTAGTGTGAGACTTGGCTGATTTCTGCAGCTTCCCAGTTGCTGCATTCTTAATTGATTAAAGCTATTGATTAGGCCTCCTAAAGCCTCCAGACAGAAATGAGCCTTTATCTGCCATGGCCAGATACCCAGATATCATATTCACTCACTGTGCAGCCTGTGCCAGATGCAGAGAGCCAGAGCGTCTCTGCTGGTGTGACCACTCGCACAGATTCATGAGCACCAGAGATGGAGTCAGAGCAAGAGACAGAGCCATCTATCTCCCATCCACCTAGTTATGCAGGAGAGGAATCCCCTATCTCTGCTCACAGTCTGCAGCCACAGTAATTACTCAGCTCTGTGGGAGTGCGCATAACTTTTCCTCTGCTTTCAAGAAGCCACTGCCCACTCTGCTTCCCGTTATCAGGGCCAGCAGACACTCCTAGACTGGGAGGCGTCCAAAGTTCTCCTCACCCAGGAACTTGGGCTCGCCGCAAAAGAGCAAGGTCATACAGCTGTCCCACTGCGCCACGGGGAAGTGTGGGTGCAGTTAGAGCAGCACCGGAGCTGGATGTTGGTGAGGAGATGTGCTCAAGGCCACATCAGCAGTGCCTGTGCTTGCAGCGTGCAGGTATAAGCAAAGCTCTTCAGGTTTTAGCTTTCTGTTCTTTTAAGTTGCAGCATGAATTTTAATGTGCAGAGCCACAGGGGAGGTGGGGGTTTGTGTTTTATGGCTTTTAAAGAAGGAAAAGTTGAAAGTGCGACGCCGAGGCTGTGATGGAATTCATCATGAGAGAGACAAAACACGGCCTCGGGTGACTGCACGTCAGTGCTTTGCAAATTGGATGAACGGTTATGTGTTCGTGCTGTTTACTCGGACACGTTTGATGCTGACAGCTGTCGTCGTGATAGAAACGTCTGATGCTGTGTAATTGTACCCATCAGCCTCACCTGGACGGAGACGTCCTGGAAATAAAAGATATTCAGTAAATTCAGATGTGTCACATTGAGATAAGGCTGATGATTCTCTCTCAGGGAACATTTTGTCTTGTTTTTTGATGAGATTTTTTTGTGTCATTCTCTCGAGATGAACAGAAATTTGATGGCAAGCAGTTGTTTTTTTCCCCCCAAGACTGCTGGGAGGAGGAGAGAGCGCCTGTTTGCGCCAAGTCAGTGTGTATTTGCATACTGAGGAGGTGTGATGGGTGTGATGGGGGCACACACACACATCCTCTGTGTGTGTGTGTGCGTGCTGGAGCTGTCAGTGTGACGACTCGGTGCAAGCAGAGACGCGGGCCTCGCCGTTTAGGATGCGAGCAGCTCTTACCTCCGTGCACGCCGTCAGCCGTCCTATCTTTCCTGCCCGTACGCTCGCTTCAAAACACACAAACATACATGATCTGTTTACATGCACCTATCTGCTAAAAGTGGCAGCCTTGAAGCGATTACACGAGCTCTGCTGGTGCTTCTGCTTCTCGTCTTCAGCTGTCTCTGCACTTCTCGAAGGGTGAA